CCTTCCCTTACTATGCGATGGCCCTTCCTCCAAGCTGGAGACAGAGCACTGTGAATGCTTCCCAAAAGCACTCAGTGTCAACCCAAACATCTGATTGATGGGGATCATCATTCTGATGACTTTTTATTTTTTTTTTATTAGGATTTGTTTCATGCTTGTATCTTTGGTTATATACACATTTATAGACATCTGTATTTAGTGTGTATAGAAGGTATAGAGATATAAATATCTTTTCCACTATTAACAGGGCACTCAAGATGTGCATAGCCTTTTTCTTTTTCTTTTTTTTTTTTTAATGGTGCTTTCAATTTTTTTGCTTGGTAAGGGCTTTCCAAGGCAGACTTAGAATATTTTATGAGCACACACTGTGATTGCCACAGCACGTGCGATAATTCATGCAGAATACAAGACTCTTCTGACTTCACAGCTTGTGATTACACGTTGACACCTGATGATTGACTGGGATGTCCTGAGCCCCTGGAAGAATCAAAGCACCAAAACAGCTTGTGGAAACAAGCGGGTCTGCAGCCAGAATGAGGTGAGGTATAACAACAGTAAATTGTGCTGGAGATGAAACACAAAACTCATACAGATAACAATATGATCCAGGGTTCACTATTTGGTGATAGTGAAAATTTAAACTGCTTCTGTTGCTACAGAATTTAAACTGTAAGAAAGTTTAAATATGGAAGAATAGGAAGATTATCCCATAGAAGACAATAAATAGAAACAACAACTTATGTGGTCTATGGCTACTCTCTACCACTGACATTTTAAGTAATAATTTATAAATGAGGCATCGTATGTTCTGGCTTTTGAACTGAAGAAATCAAGGTTTTATTAACTGTATACTTTTGAGGTATCATTAAAACTGTTGGGAGTAAAAAAAATCTACTCGGAATAGTTTTCTATTTTATATACAAATCTTTGGAAGAAAAATAACATTATAAAGTATATTACACTTAGTTTTTCATTTATTTCAGCTAAATAAAGCTAATTGTCTCCAAGCCTAATTTTTCAAGTGAACAGGTAAATTTTTGCGCTGTGATCTGAAGGGCTGCTCCTCCCCATTATGTGACCCAGAGCACCTCCACCATCCCTCCCACTGACACCTCTGAAGGGACCTTCAGGGATCATCCCGATGATCCAGCCAAATTCTGCATCTCAGACTAAACGGGTCAAAGAGCTTTCCCACTTGGTTACAAACTAACATTATGAGAGCAATGTTCTAGAAAAAAACCCATTATGATCTCCAGGAAAGAAGGAGCCTTAACTGATAGTTTTATCATGGTGTGCAGATCTCAGCTGGGATAGAGTTAATTTTCTTCCTAAGAGAAGAGGATATAGAAGGTTTTGACATATGGAAAGGACATTCCCTTGAATTTTGAAAGCACTTTTGCTGTTATGTCTCAACTTTTAGTGCATATACGTGCATACACATGTCTACACTTACCTGTATGTGCCTTACATTTATATTTTCCTTTTCTTTCCAGACAGCTTCACAGAACATAATATCACCAGAAAATAATTTCTTACCTGGAGATATTATATAGAAGAAGTCCTTAAACTCATCCATCCAGACCTCTGCCAGTCTCCTGTTGTTCTTGTTAATGACGTGTCCTGTGCCGCCAGGGAAGGTGTAAGGAGTTGCCTTTCGGAAAACGTGGCCAACATGCGAGCAGGTGACAATCTCAAGGGAGCCGCCGCACTGCCAAATCTGAAATTAAAAGATGCAGAAAACACTGACTAAATCAAATACAAACCATGTCGAGTTTATAGCAGGAGGGACTCTGACAGATGGGTTAGCACTTCTCTCCCCATTTATTTCCTGAGGTCACAATTCAACAGGAAATTTCAAAAAAATTTCAGAGTTTAAGGGAAACAGCAGGGGCACAACTCTTGACAGCAATGAAAGTGCACAGACTTTAACAGGAATGTGAACACTTGCATGAATGGTTCACCTGGTTCTGTGTCCTATATTGTAACATAAACCTACACAAAGCACCACCTCAGAAAGGTGTCATCTTATAATGGATTAAGTGTAGGGTATGTATACTATCATTATTTAAATTTTCCAGGATTTTATAATATTTCATAGAATCACAGAGTACCATCTTGGAAATGACCTCAAGGATTATCTGGTCCAACCTTTCTAGGCAAAGCATGACCTAGACTAGATGGCCCAGCACCCTGTCCAGCTGAATCTTAAAAGTGTCCAACACTGGGGAGTCCACCACTTCCTTGGGGAGATTACTCCCATGGCTGATTGTTCTCAACATGAAAATTTTTCCTCTTGTGAGGAAAGAAACAAAGAAAAACTTTCACATACAAATATACGTATTTTTCAAAGCAGAATCATGTTCATGATGATGAACAGCTGATCTTGGTTGCTATCACAGACAGCAACAGAAAGCAGCAAGCACAGGTACTTTGACCATCACAGAACCACAGAAGTGAAACGCAGATGCAAAATGCATCTTCTCTGGTTCACATGCTGGTGAGCACTGTGACCAACTCCAGGAAAAAAAAAGTTATAGACAAAGCAGAGAATCTGATGAGCTCCTAGATGCAAACTGTCCCTTTCCACTACTGGAGCCAAAATCTATAATTTGAGTAAGCTCAGTGCATTCACTATGACTGTATAAGAATAAAAAAAAAATAAATCTGGACTTTAATGTCTTGTTGTTAAGTGAAAGAATGTGTTTCTCTCTGAGATCACGAGAGCTTTGGTATGATATACCTATGCGTATTAACTGCTGTTCTGCAAGCTCCCATCTTTCCAGGCTCTGAAAAGAACTAGACAGGAGACTAAGGATGGCTGAATGTCCAAGTTTGCAGAACTGGAGGCAGAACACAGGCAGTCGGGTGAACAACAGGGGCAAACAAAGCATACAGGGTGACAAAGTTTTGCTGTTCTGCCAGGCAAGATCAAATCCTTGGGGTTCATTCTTCTCAAAGGTTCACTGACATCTTGGCGTCAACAATGGTACCAACAACTGCTCAATTCCTTATTTAGACCTGTCCCACCCTCTGCTTTACTCTCCTCTTAAACAGCCAGCAGGACTAAAATTTACAATACCTCTGGTAATAAGATACAGAATTTAAGAACCATTGG